TAACAAAATAGCAGGTTAATTTTTAAGGAAGGAAGGAAGGAGGAAAGGAAGGAAGGGAGTTGTATTAGTTATTAACTCAAAAACAATCATGGCATTTTAATCTAAATATGGAACAGTCCTTTGAAATTTATAAAAAAAATGGCAAAATCTAATACTAAGATGAAATTGAGAGGCAGTTTGGTATAGTGGTTAAGGTACCAGGCTAGAAGTCAGGAGACCATGAGTTCTAATCCCATCTTGAGCACAAAACCAACTGGGTGACCTTGGAGAAGTCATTTTTCAGTCTTAGGAAGGAGGTAATGGCAAATTAATTTTGAAAAACCTTGCCAAGAAAATTGCAAGGATGGACTTCCGGCTGACATCACAGCAAGATTGGACACGACAAGCGGGTCTCCACGCTCCCACGCTGAATTCTCACCATTGCAGGGCTCTGAAAGGAGCATGGAAGCATGAGGAAAATAATCAACAATATATATGGGTATTTAAAGAGAGTGTCATTATATCCAAGATATAATATTTGAAAGTCCATATTACATCAAGCTCATTAGTAAGTTTAAGCTATGAAATAAATAGTTATCATGGCATGGCATGAAGCTGGCACTGCTCTGAATTCCATGCTCCTGAAAGCAAAATGTTAGCATTGGCAATCACTCTGATCTGCCATTTAATTCAATAACTTTTGTTATTTGTTGACCTAGGAAAATATTATTTCATGTCCAGAGGTCTCAGAAAAATAGGACAGCAATAGACATTTCTTGAAAGAATCTAGTCCTTGTTCACAATGGTTGTTACAAATCTTTGCTGCTAATTTTCAGTAGGATTTAGTGTGAATTTCCTGCCAAATCTATAGAGGCTTACACTTATTTTACTTTGATGCTAGATTAATTCATTAATTTTTCATTAAATTAGTATTTTTTAAGCTTAGACTAGAAGAACTTGCTTACTGCTGGATTGCAACAGGTTGTGCAAATGAGAAAGGACCTTTATTGATTGATTGATTGATTGAGGAATCAAAGTTCTGTAAGTATTATTCTAATACAATAATAGAAGTTTTGGTGATGTTCATGTTTAAGGTGGAATGTTTCCCAATATAAAGCTTGGTTGAATAATAGCGTCTAATATTGAAGAAATTTTATCAGGTAAATTTCAGTTACTTCCTCATTTGTCATGGGAACCTTTTGGGAATGTTCAGCTTTGTAAATTCTTTTCCCAAAGTCTATTTTTGCTGTGCAAACACAGTGTATATCACAATTTATAAAGAATGGGACTGGAATATCTGAATACAGTCCAAGAAAAAGTCAAAAGAAAAAAGAAAAAGAAAAATCAGTTAAATTCCAGTGAATAATGCTAATTTATACTGAGCCTGTTCTAATATATACAACAGATATCAGTCTCTGATTTCTTTTCAAGCAAGATGCTATGAATCCACTGTGGCATGAATAAATATGTAGTTAATGCCAGCTACTGTCCATTAAAATGTGTTTTTGCTGAACAATTGTGTACAGAAATGTGCATATATGGGACAGCTGCATAAAACAATGTGTACATTAGGGAAATTTGCATATAAATGTATGTATAAATGTATGTATACAAAACACTTGTGTTAATGAGCCATAAATACAAAATGCTGATGTTTTCTCTCATTTTTGTTTGAATACATCCCTTATTAATTGGAACTGGATTCATTCAGACTATAACAACTCTAGTCAGATCACAGAGGTTTATCTAATACTGGTAACTATGGACTAATCTAAATAATAATTGTTGGAAAGTTTCAAGTTAAGATGTCATTTTCATCCAGGATACTTCAGATATTCTTCAATAGAACTTCCAGGTTTGGGACCTGGAATATTATGCACGAAAAGCCAATTTTCCACAATTAAACTTCATTTAACCTGTCTCTTCTCCATGATTCCATTCTATTACTGTATTGCACATATACTCACACAGAGACACATCTCTATCTCTCTATCTGTCTTTACCTCTGTCTCTATATCTGTAATCTCTGTTTCTGTCACTATCTCTATATTTCTATCTCTAGCTTAACATAATAGCTTTCATATTTATGGTGATGGGTAATATTCTTTTATCAGTGGACTATGAAAGCAGAGCAAAAAATATGAATCACAGACACAAGTTAATAGAAGTTCTCATAAAATAGAAAAGAACCATAAATAAGGTATTTAGATAATTAAACACCTAAGATTAAAACAGAATAAACTACAAGACTCCAACTTTGGAAGTAGGCCATTCTCCTTGCAGCAAATCATGTGCTACTGACTGAATGTTTTTCCTCTCAATTTTTGTAGTAATCAGCACAAACCTGCCAGGTACTTTATTCTCTCCCTAACATATTTTGTTATTTTAAAATAACTTATTTTACGAGCTTATGGGCTAAAAGGAATTGTTGTTTCGTAAAAACAAAAAAAAATCCAATGCTGTCATTCTAACAGGGCCTTATAAGAATTTTAGTTTCCCCAGTCTTGTAATCCATTTTCATGTTTTTCTTCATTACTGAGCCCAGAAAGGTAGAAAAAGAGAACATCAGTTTTAAACAATTTCATATTTAGGTTAATAATAATTAAAATGCAATGTACAGATATTGAATGCATCAAAATATGCTGTGGATAAAATTAAAAAAGTGATGAAATTACTTGGAAATCAAGTAAATCAGTGAAGCTCTTTCCCTCATAAAATAGATAATAGGATGGGCAATTCCAACTCCCTCATTGTGCCTCCATGGCTGTCCATTCTTCATAAAATGAAGGGAAGAAAATGTTCATGAAGTCTTTTGGGTGAAATCTCAGAAGCCCAAGAGACTGTACGTTTCTGGAGTAATGATCATACAATGAAAAACATTCATATATCAACTTGTAAGTATGGTAATTAAAATTCTTGAACATGCCCAAGACAATTGCTATCAATAATTCTTTTCCTTTAAAAACAATCCTAAAAGGTATTTCTTTTTTATCAAATGGAGTAAGAAATTATTACTGGATTTCACTCCTAGCACTTCTGGCCTGGAAATAGCTAACTTTAAAAAGAAGCACTAAACAAACCATAAATGTTTGATCAAAAGTGGTGCCTCACCAGCAAACAGGCTGAGTGAGGGACCCCTAGTACAAATAATCTGAACTCATATGTCAAAGGACCAGTGGTGGGTTGCCCCCAGTTCGCACCGGTTCTATAGAACCAGTAGTAAAACCGACAGGAGGCTCCACCCACCGACCCCGATGTCATCAAAATGCTTCTGCGCATGTGCAGAAGAGCGCACGTGTGTGCTCGCTTCGCTTGCGCACACGGCCCCGTTGTGAACTAGGTAAAGGTAAGTAGAACCCACCCCTGCAAAGCACATGCAAATACAACAGCATCATGGTTGCCAAAGTGAAATCAGGTATCACCAAACTTACCACTAACCTTTTAGGATTCAAGGTTCCCTTTAACTATTTAGAATTTACATTTATGTTTTTTAGAACTTACTTAATATTCTCCTATTCAGAGTTTGCCTAACACCATTTTTAAGTTCTATAACAATTAGAAGGAGCTGAAGATCACAACATAAGAATTCTAGTGAACATTCTAATTTAATTCTTTACAGGAAAATCTAAGCAGGCAAGTCTCTGGTTTATATTCATATATTTTTTGGGGTGTACAGAAGAGGAGGTTTACCTGAGTTGTGAAACTAGAACAAGCATATCATTTTAGAACAAAATTCATTGGGACCGACTCTTAGTGAAGCAATAATAGGACCACAGATTCTATCTTTCAGGCTTTATTTTGGATATACACCCCAAAATCAGAATGACTGTTTCAAAGATGTTCCAAAATCTGCATTTGTGGTTCAAAGAAACCTCCAAATGAATGACTCATAACACACCTACCCAGGAGCATCTTCAAGAATGCAAGGAATATTCAGAAATTATGTAGAGCCCAACTTGTAGGTCCACTTACATTCATACCGCTCACATGAGCATCAGAAACAGCTTGAGAGTTTATTGCATGAATTACTACCACCAATTAAAATGAACTCTGGATGGTTAACCTATCTAGATATTTTTGTTTAACGAGCCTGAATTCCAGAGAGAAATCAACTGAGGACAATTTTGTAGTGAAAAGTTGCAGTTCTAAAGGATTTGGGTTATTTATATTCACTATTATATTGGGCCAGCTCTGCTTGGCAATTATGAGAGTTGTAATTCCAATATATTTGAAGGGCATAGGCCTAGGAAAGGACAATGCCTAATTTCTTTGCCTGAAGAATTTTTAAAAATCCATACTACCCCTTAATATTCAACAATTTCACTGTCAGCTTTATGGAACTGACATAGATTTATGCCATTTAAACTCCATGTTGCAGTTAATACAATAACCTTTACATTTTTATTATAGTTGGCTACTCTTTTGGAACAGAACATATTCTAGATTCTTAAAAGTCATCGGGGAAAAAAGCTCACTCTGTATTTTTTTGTAAATCTGTTACTGCCCTCAAAAGAATAATTTCTGTCTCCATGTCATCATTTTTCATCCAGCACTGTTGCATCACTTAATTTTGTTCCCTCAAATCAAAGAAGAAAAAAAACCCTATAATTGTCAAGAAGCCTCCATTTTTGTGGTCTGTAGAATGTTCTAAGATCAGATTGCTAAAATTCAGTGGTGAAACCCTATTCAACTATGGAGCAATGTTACAAGTTTTAATTGAAATAAGTATAAAAATAGGTGTGTTAAGTTTCTGCTAGGTTGATTACATCTATTTTCTATTCATGTCAAACACAACGGATACTAATAACACTAGGATGAATATTTGAGAACCTCAATTTTTTGATGGTCAAAATATTGTTTTAAAAACATTTAAGTCTCTTTGTTGGTAAGAAGAAATTTCTCACTTTTTATCATCTATGTAATATAGCCTCCTTAGTTTTGCTCATTTGAATAGAATAAACTTTTTTTTTAAGAAAGAACCTTCATGATCTACCCTGATGACACAAAATCTTTCACTGCAGGTTTTTCAGTCATTCATTCTCTTGAATAAAGGCACAAATTCTCTTCAGATCTCTCCAGTGAATGTGTGGAAGTTAGAGAAAGGTTGCTGTGGAACTTTGTGCCATTTCATTCTCTTCCACAACTTCACAACGACAAAAGAAGTAGAGTTTTGTAGGAAAACTTCCTAATCTTGCATGTGTGCACTGAAGTGAAAAGGACTATTTATGTAAGTATAATTGAAGCTATGGTCAATGAAAATGTCAATTCAGTATGTAGGCCATTAGAAAGTCAAATCTGATGTTAAAAATTATTAGGAAAGAAAAAAAACACGAGCAACATAATATGTGTCAGCACTATTCTTTTTTAACATCTGTTCTTTCAAAGTGCCCTTCAAAAGTGATCAAACCATAATAATACCTCGTTACTGATGCACTGGTGAATTAGTTACTCTTTCATCTCTATTGCTTTGCTCCTTTTATTTTCCTTTGAGAAATCTACAATTGTGATAATTATTCTTTTTAAAAAATATTAATTTTTGCACACTTCATTTTTCCTGAGTTGAAGGCTCTGCAACTTTCTTCCTCAAAACGATCTCTCTTCTTTTCCCAAAGTGAACACATTCATTATAGCTGAACAATAGAGGAGAAGAAACTCAGAGATCCCACATGGAAGGAGTTATATCCAGAGATGTGTGAGATTACAATTTGTCTCCATGAGTCAATTTGCATCAAAGAAGCACCACAATATACCCACTGAGGCACTGAAGCAATTTTTTCTGTCCACTACTGGAACTGGTTGAAGAGTCCTCAGAGGCAAGGCAAAGGGATGCATTGACCTTTGTTTTAAGGTCAGATCCAAAACCCATCTAAGAAACAAGAGGTAATCTCTTTCAGCAGATACAAGTTTTATAGTGTACCAGGTAGAGTCCAATAATACACCAGTTGAAGTGAGCAAAACCTCCTGTAGCCATGACTTCTATCTTCTGCAATAACAGTCTAAAAAGACTCGTTATGCACAGTCACTCATGCCCTCGTCACCTCTCGTCTGGACTATTGTAATGCTCTCTACATGGGGCTCCCCTTGAGGTGCACCCGGAGGCTCCAACTGGCGCAGAGTGCCGCCGTGCGGGTGGTTATGGGAGCAACATGGAGCTCCCATGTAACACCTCTCCTGCGCGAGCTGCACTGGCTCCCGGTGGTCTTCCGGGTGCGCTTCAAGGTTCTGGTTACCACCTTTAAAGCACTCCATGGCTTAGGACCTGGTTATCTACGGGACCGCCTACTACCACCAACAGCCTCCCACCGACCAGTACGCTCCCACAGAGAAGGGCTCCTCCAGGTGCCGTCGGCCAAACAATGTCGGCTGTCGGCCCCTAGGGGGAGAGCCTTCTCTGTGGGGGCACCGACGATCTGGAATGAGCTCCCCCCAGAGATACGGAGGATCCCGGATCTGCGCACCTTCCGCCGCGAGTTGAAGACGCTTTTATTTCATCAAGCGGGCCTCGCCTAAATTTTCTCCCTTTTAAATGAAAATTTTAAATTTTTAATTGTATTTTAAAATTATGGGTATTTTAAATTATGGATATAAATTCAGCCAAATTTATTTAATTTATTTTATTTGATTTTAAATTTTGTATATTTATGTGTTTTATTTCATGGCTGTACACCGCCCTGAGTCCTTCGGGAGTAGGGCGGTATAGAAATTCAATTAATAAATAAAAATAAATAAATAAACAAGAATCAGTGGTGAAATCCAATTATTTTTACTACCGGTTCTGTGGGCGTGGCTTGGTGGGCATTATGGCTTGGTGGGCGTGGCTTGGTGGCCATGGCAGGGAAAGGATACTCCAAAATCCTCATTCCCACCCCGCTCCAGGGGATGGATAGTGCAAAATCTTCATTCCCACCCCATTCTGGGGCCAGCCAGAGGTGGTATGTGCCGGTTCTCAAAACTACTTAAAATTTCTGCTACCGGTTCTCTGAACTGCTCAAAATTTCTGCTACCAGTTCTCCAGAACCTGTCAGAACCTGCTGGATTTCACCCTTGACAAGAATAATATGTTTCAGAATACCTTGGGGTTATGCAATCTTACATCTGTACACAGAAGATGATTATATACATATAATCCTTCCTTTCTACTGTTCTAGTGTTTTCAATCTAGCTCAAATAAGACCCATTGAATACTTCTTAACTGAATCCATAACAGGTGGGGCTTGCATCATGTTAAGATATTTCTATCAACATTCTGCTGCAAATGACAATGTTTTTAGTCCTTTAATTCATAATTAAACCTGTTGATGTTCAGAGAGACATATTTATATGTCATTACAATTTATAGTAATTAATATCTTTCCATAAACTTATTTTAACTTAACTTCCTTATTCATAGCTCCTGCTTTTTACTTACATGAGCACACATATGCAAATCTTTTATTTTGTTCATTAATTCACATTGTTACCATTCACTTTTCATATATTCCAAACTACAATCTTCCTTATGCTGTAGTTATCACTAGATGCATCCACACTGACCATCAATAGCAACCATGGCTTTTTAAATAAGATAATCAAAGTTTAAGCTACCTTACCAATCTTAGTTAAATACCATGTCACTTGTAGCATTCCCTGCTAATTAAAGACATGTTTTTAAATAACTGGCCATTATGCCACAAGCACAACCAAAGCTTAGTTTTAGCCAAAGTATAATCATGCTATTCTATGCAAGTTACCATCTCTGATCTACTTTTCAAGTCAGCATTGTCCATATCCCACCACTTAGAATGTACACACAGTATACTAATTTAGTAAGAAAATATCTTCCCAAATTCACTTCAAAATACTGCTTTCATTAAAAGGTTGGTGCTTTCCCAATTTGTTTTAATGCTGCTAGTGGTTGTTTTCCAGACTGTGAGGTATGCTATGCTAGTTTATCATGATTCAGAGATTATAGTTTAGTGACATCTGTTATAGTACTTACATTATATGCTCTGCTAACCATGACAAGGAAAAAAACAAAAGGATTACTATTTTTTTCAGTTTGAGGCAAAATCCCATAGGCTGGTTTTTGCCCAAACTGGATAAAATGGTGTGGGTTTCATTCATGATCCCATACTATGATATTATCTGTCTGTCTGTCTGTCTGTCTGTCTGTCTGTCTGTCTGTCTGTCTGTCTGTCTATCTATCTATCTATCTATCTATCTATCTATCTATCTATCTATCTATCTCCCACCTTTATTATGATTTACAAATAACTCAAGGCAGGAAACATAGTCAACACAGCTTCTTTCTCCTATTTGGGGAGGAGATAGGATAGGATAGGATAGGATAGTTTAGTATCATCTGCAAATTTGATGAGTTCCCCTTCTATTCCCTCATCTATGTCATTTAGGATAAGAGAGGATAGGATAGCTGAGATGAGATAAGCTTTATTGTCACTTTTTCTGTGAACACACTGGCATACATTAAAAAATGAAATGCTGATCCTCATACGCATACATGCACATACATATACATATGCTATTTATACATATACTATAGTCAGATGCACACACACATCATAGAGCACAGTGGAAAAAAGACTTTTGAGAATTAACAAGGTTGATACTATATAGTATAAACAGAATCTAGTTATCTTGCTTCAGATGTTGCAAAGTCTCCTCCCAGAAGGTAACAAAGAAAGCTGGTCATAGATAGGATGTATAATGTTCCTGACAATACTATGGACCCTGATGAAGCATTGCTTATATGCTACACCCTGAATAGGAGGTGAACTTCCAATAATCTTTTCTGCTGCCCTCACCACTCTCATTACAGCCTTCCTATCCAAAATAGTAATACCTTCAAACCACACAGTAATACAATACAACAAGATGCTTTAAATCCTCCCTCTGTAAGAAGTGGTAAGGGGAAAAAAGAGGTTCTCTTCTCAGAAAATGCAGAAAATGCAGGCGCTGCTGTGCATGCTTCACCAGTGTCTCACTTTTGAGTGACCAAGCTAACCTGTTCATCAGGTGCACACCCAAAAACTTAATACTTCTAACCACCTCCACAGTTGAAAAGCACAGAGATGTATGGCTGTGCCTGACTTTTCTGATATGATATAGGATATCAATATAAGAGCAGAAGCACACTGTCCTGATTTGAAAGGGTCAACCTCAGGAACTTTTTTAGACTTCCTGTCCATGAATTTGACTGATCATCATGTTCTCTAACCTGACATTTTTTCAAATAATAATCTGAAAGGGCTCGATGGTGGTGGTGAAAGACAGCATAAATTGATTTGAGAATCTGGGCTGTTAACATCTGACATGGCTGCTATTAATCTCTTCAGAGCTATTCCAGGTGGCTTCCAAAATGAACTAGTTATCCAGAATGTTTAACAAAACTGACAGCTAATTATATAGACCCATTAGGAATCTATTTATAAATTACACTAATACTGTTAGTGCTCTAGATCTATAATAAGGAATGAAACCATCACTTTTCAGATTAACATAAAAGCCTGGGTTTTTTTGCATGGGTGGAATGGAGGAATTGGAGGATTAAAACATATAACATTCTGGACAAGGCAATGAATAATATGTAGACATCAGTCAGTAAATGTGAAATCATCTATTCACCAGAATTCAGCAATAAAACATCCAAGGCTTTTAAGTTCACCTTAATATTTTTTGCAGTGTGCAGAATTTACAAATATATAATACTTTGGCATATATTAAGGGAGAAGCTAAAAAGAAAACAATTCCAATTTTTACTAAATAAAAAAAAATGCAGGGCTTGAATTGACAAATTGCTAATCGGGAATTTTTAAATAAAGAGAGAGAACTATAAATGGTCCAGAACTAATTTTACTGCCTTGGCAAAGATAAGTTAAGAAAATGTGACAACTTCTCACAAGTCAGCATGCTGAAACTATCGATTAGCTGAACCAGTGCTTCTGATGTGTGTAAGAATTGAAAACCAGACAAAAGGTCAGCTTTCTTTTCCAATTGAAATGCTGGAACCTATTCTGTTTATATCTTACCATAGAGCTTCGCTTAGTTTGACCAAAATTATTCTGAGAACACCATCTGCACAGAGGATATCTGGGTGGAAATAATTTGTGATGGAGAAGCAATAGCCACAGTTGCAACATTTGAGGGCTAGTCTAATTACAACTTTCCCACTTTTCTTCCAGCATAGCTGCCAAAACAACCTGACAAGTCAAGGGAGGTAAACAGCCAGTGAATATAAAATTAAGCACTCCCTTCCAATTTCTCTCTTTCTTTCTCTCTCTCATAGCTTCCCAGACCCATCTCTGCAAAACTACCTTATTTAACAACCAGTCATTTAAAAATGCTTTAAATTTTGTGGCTAGTTACCTTCTGTTATGTAATAGTGGACATCATTTCTAACTAGTGTGCAAAACATACTGGCATATATCAACAGCCTTGGTGCCAACATAATGACAAAAACAGCCTATCATATCAAGCTTGATATTTGTGCACATATTGCCAAAGCTGGAAATAAATAACCAAGGAGATAGATAATTATCAAAACAGAGAATGTTGCATAAGAATTTGATACTGAATAGAACTATTTTGGCTGGTATAAATTCTTTATAAAGTCAGACATAAGCATCAATTCCGTAACTCCTCAACAACAACAACCAAAAAAAACCCAAACCATCATGCTCACAGTTGTGCTTCTTGCTTTCTTGTTAATGAGGTATTTGTTATGCATTCATTAGTTTGTATTCTATCATCCAGATCCATCCATATTTTATTTTTATCTTCGAAATAGAAGTAGTACACTGGGGACTTATTTGCTTAAAAGTCTACACTGAGTACTCAAGGATGCATCAATTTACTCATCTTAAACTGAAATTATACCCAGGATACATGCCTAGCAAAACAAAAACACCAAACCTTTATTCATCATTATAGCTTCTCCTCCCTGTAATAAAATGTCTAAGTAACAATTAGATCATGTTAATCTGAGATCTAATATAACATCCTCATCATTTTGTTCCTGCTTATTTTAACTCATTAAAACCTACCGTCTTGATCAAAAGATAGAAACAGCAACAGAAATATTTTAAGGTGTTACAATAAAATGAACAATGTTATCTGAATGAATATTAATCTCAGAAATAAGAGAATATATTCTCTCAGCCTAAAATTCATTTTTAAAAGCACATGGACATAAACAAAGATCTGTAATAATCAATGATTTTAAGCGAGAGGTATTCTCCCAAATTCATGCTGACATTAAATAGTTTATATATTTATGAATTCTATGTACTTTTATCACCCTAAATCCAGCCTGAAATGCTTCTTATGATCAAACTATTTATGATGGCAAATAAAGAGCTACTGCTGAATGTAAAAGACAATCTATTCACATTTTCCTTTCTTTTCTTTCAAATATCTTTTAATTTCCCCTCTAATACAACATTTTAACATGCTTATGCTTACAACAGGCAAGCCAGCATGGAAATCAGTAATGGAGAAAAGGGATAAGAAAATGTACAAATGAAATAAGCTTTTCCTTTGAAAATATAACCGTGTCCCGTCCCCCCCCAAAAAAAGCAAGCAAACAACAAAGTAGGGAGTCACAATAATAATCTGTTATTTGCGGTGAGCCGTGGTGGCACAGTGGTTAGAGTGTAGTACTGCAGGCTACTTCTGCTGACTGCCAGCTACCTGCAATTTGGCAGATCGAATCTCACCAGGCTCAAGGTTGACTCAGCCTTCCTTCCTTCCAAGGTGGGTAAAATGAAGACCCAGATTGTTGGGGGCAATATGCTGACTCTAAACTGCTTAGAGAGGACTGTAAAAGCACTGTGAAGTGGTATATAAGTCTATTGCTATTTGGAATATTGGATCCATGTTTCTTTTTTCTTGCACTCTCCCAAGTTAGTTGCTTAGTTGCTACCAAGGCAAGAGAAAAGAACATTATTCCTTTAGATCAGGGAAAGACAGCTTCAGTTGATGTCACCTTAGTCTCTTTCTTTTTTTCTGACCCTGGAACCCTCAGGACACAGCACACCAAAATGCACTGGTGAATTTGCAACAGCATTAAAATTAGAGCCATGATGGCACAGTGGTTAGAATGTAGTACTGCAGAGCTGCAGGGCTAACTCACTGCTCAGTCCAGGTGTTTGATTCTGAGCGGCCCAAGGTTGACTCAGCCTTCTATCCTTCCGAGGTCAGCAAATTGAGGACCCAGATTGTTGGGGGGCAAGATGCTGACTTTGTAAACTTCTTAGAGAGTGCTGTAAAGCACTGTGAAGTGGTATATAAGTCTAGGTGCTATTGCTATTAAAGGATTTTCTGCTCTTGTTTGGGAAAAATCGCAAAATACACGATAGCTTTAATCCCTTTATTTTTATCCTTTTTTCCAAAAATTTGTCCCTAAAGATTTAAAAACAGCTGAAAATTCCATTCCTCCAATTATGTTAGCTGGTTATCACACTTGGTTACTGGTTAAAAAAGAAAAAAAAAACCAAAGTCTCACTCGGGCCATAAAAAGTTACTTTTGTTTTTGTTATTGTTAGACTTCAACTTTCATCATCTCAGATCATTGGCATTCAAATAGGGGCAAACAGAATCATATAAAAGTGGGAGATCATGAATTATAATTCTTGTTAAAAGGAGACTTTATTGTTCTTTTAGGAAAACAGCAATATTCATAATGCCTGTAGGTATATTTTAAGATGTACGATATACAAAATATTATGACAACCTGCCATTTCCTTGTGATAAGTCTAATAGATGTAAACATACAATGAAACAAACTAAAACAAAGCCTCAAATTGCAAAAAAAAAGCTTGGAAAAAATGGTACAATATGCCATTATTACCTTTCTCTTTTAAAGGTAAAGGTAAAGGTTCCCCTCGCACATATGTGCTAGTCGTTCCCAACTCTAGGGGGCAGTGCTCATCTCCATTTCAAAGCCGAAGAGCCAGCACTGTCCGAAGACATCTCTGTGGTCATGTGGCCGGCATGACTAAATGCCAAAGGTGCACAGAATGCTGTTACCTTCCCACCAAAGGTGGTCCCTATTTTTCTACTTGCATTTTTTACATGCTTTTGAACTGCTAGGTGGGCAGAAGCTGGGACAAGTAATTGGAGCTCACCCCATTATGCGGCACTAGGGATTTGAACCGCTGAACTGCTGACCTTTCGATCGACAAGCTCAGTGTCTTAGCCACTGAGCCACTATGTATCTCTTACTAGAATCCAATTCCTAGTATGTGTATAACATTTTTCCTTGTGGGTATAAAAGTCTATATGGACAGGGGGCAAGAAATACCTATGTTTTCTGTATAAAGAGAGCACAATTATATCTAATTGTTGAATTTGCCAACAGTGATGCAAGCTGATGGAAGTCAAATTCCAACCATTTTCCATGATTTGCATGAATAAATTTAATACATCTAAAATGTCTCCAAAGGGCATATGTACATGTGTATCCACGTGTATGAATACACACATTGTTGAAATGAGAAACAGGAAAGTGTCTTTCAATTTCATCAAATTGTCCAGTTGCATAATTTGATATACTATATTGCGTTGTCATATCACAAAGCTGATATCCTTACTGTAACCTTGGTAAACACAAATATATACACATACAAGTGTTCCAATAACAACTTTGAACATTAAACATTTTATTAGCAACTTCAAATACCAAATATTTGAAGTTTATTTTAATTTCTTTCAATGGAATAAAGCACAATCTTATACAAATCTATTCCAAAGAAAGCTTTATTAACTTAACTGGGATCCACTCCAAGATAAATAAGTACATGGTGTATCAAATGATATGTCTGAATTATTAGAATTTGTTTCTCTATGCTGAGCATTCAGGATTATCCATCTTTGAAAAACATCCTTCAAATATTGTTAACTTTTAACCTATAATTGCAGGTGAATTCTTCCTTGAGCTATTAAAAATCAAGGCAATGGTTATATATATATAATGGATACATCTTCCCAAAAAACATTTCATTAAACTATGCAAAAATAATCACAAATTATAATAACATAGTGATAAGAGTGAAAAAGAGTTGTTTGGTTTTTTTAATTAAAAAAAAACAAATTGGTGACTAAAAGTTAAAGAAAAATCTCCTTTGAGTGAACTTTGATTTTAGTAAATTAAGCATTTACCTTTCCCACGTACTGGGGTTCGGAGCCCATGTATTCTTCCAGGACAAAAAACTGATTCCAGACCCAGCCTCTCTTGACCCGTAAGGTGGGTATCCTCCTTTCAGGGTTGGTGACAACATTTCTCCTTGACTCAGCTTTTGAAATCTGTTGTGGTTGCGAATGAAGTAACATTAAGATACCTCCATTGAACAGGACCCAGAGAAGCAGGGATAAGCAGTTCCTTGTAAGCATTGGCAATGGTTTCTCTATCACAAGGATTTAAAAACTCCAATGTTGAACGATGAGCTGAAGAATCCAGGTTTGAGGCTGTCTGTTGACCTTCACTGCTCAGCTTTGGAATTTTTTTTTTCTATTGCCAAAATGCTAACTCAAACATTAATTCTTCTGTTGACAAGGTTTCTGCTGCATAAAATTCCATCTAAAGGGACCTATAAAAGAAATTTATATGGCAGCATAAAATTATACAAAAAAATTATACTGAAGTAATCATCCAAACTCTCACACCTACTTAGCTTCTGCAGACAATGAATAAGATAGGAACAACAACAACAACAAAAAGAGAACTCAAAGTATTATTGGTATTTTATGCTATAGCACTGATTCACAACCAAATATAGTAAACTAATATTAGCAGTACTTCATTCTGCTTCTGTTATGTATTATTTTAGTTTCTGCCCTTTATGGCCCAGTTATAAAATAAAGCTGTTACACACCAGTGAATGTAGTTATTATTTACTCGTGATTCACAAGAGAAAAGAAAGAAAAACCAACCAACAATAAAAAAATGAGAACAAGGCTAGTCCCATCTCATTGGCACATTTATGTTAGCTTGGAAAGAAAACTTGTAACCTCCCTTTCCCTTCTCAACTATATTACAATAAGGATAAACTTGATTTAACTTTCTACTTCTTCAGGAATGTAAAACCAATATTCGGTCTTTAAATAATGGTTTTTAAGGGTTTCTTGAACTTGGTCTGTGACCCAAAGGACACATTTACAATATTCCCAAAGTGAAAGTCTCCTTCCTATCACCAAATATAAGCACTACGAGATTATTGGTTACAAGAGAAGCATCAAGTAGATCCATAAACAGACACACACAGATGAAGTTGTGGTAAGATAAACATGGGCGTTACGTTTTATAATAATATGCACAAAGGCATTTCTCATCTGTGTGCCTAGTTGTACTTTGTGCTGCTGTGCTGTGCCCATAGTGGGCTTAACAGCAACTAAGAAAACATAAATGTTTCTATTTTCCCAGGTACCTGCAAAGAATGTATGTCTATTACGGTAGGTCTTTTTAAAAGAGAAGATATTATGGAATGACTTTAACCACTGCCATTATTTTCACACATGTGAGTTTCATCAAGTAGAAATTCAAAACCAAGAAATCCAAATTCTGTTGAATTTCCCTTTCCTAAAAATCTGTAATAAAAGAAACGTAACTCAGGATCTCATTCTTGCTCCTCCATCTAGCCAGCAGTTACCAGAAATGCAGAGCAGGAAACATAGTACAAATAATCTGCCTTACATGGCAACTTTCGCAATTATGACAGTGACAAAAAAGTAAGTTTGTGAACAATATCTATATTTACTATCTTTTCAGCATTGCTCTTTCTTAGCCACACATTCATCAGTACAATAAATGAATATGCATTGTCCTGTGGCATGGTGCTGTACACTGTATAGTACAGAACCATCCTGAATTCACTCCCAACTCCTGAAAAATGTTGTTCTGGGGGAAAAAAAACATGCCAGAGGAAAATCTGCTTTTGCTTTTATAGCTGACCCCAAATAAACTAAGTATATAACTACAGGCAAGAAGAATGAAGAAGGAAATCAGTTGAGGGGTCAGTTGTTTTAATATTTGACAATAGTCTGGCTAGGTGGCTCAGTGGTTAAGACGCTGAGCTTGTCAATCAGAAAGGTTGGCAGTTCGGTATAGATCTAGTATAGGTCTCCTGCATGAGCAGGGGGTTGGACTAGATGACCTCCAAGGTCCCTTCCAACTCTGTTACTGTTATCCCATGGGCAATATCTCCCACATAAGATCAATTGCACTGAATGGAAATTGCACAAGGCACAACCATTTTGAGGCATAGCTCTCATAGGAAAACATCTTGATACAGTGAACACTTACAGTTCACTAAGTATGTGATGAGTACCACACATCATGCCAATGTATGCTTCCTAGCTACAGTTTGTACTTAGACATTTTGAGTATTTGCTTTTCACATCTATGCTCTTTCTAAATAAATTGTAGCTACTTAGTACTTTGATCACATTAAAAGGGTATAATTAAATATTTCTGTGACTAAGGGCAAATTGAATGAATTTCACTGAATTTGGAGCTTTAATTAATGATTGTGGCAGACCCAGAGGGTTTTAAGTCTTCCAGGGTGGCATAAAGTTGTGTTGTTTTTGTTACAGAAACATGTAGTATAGCAGAACACACAAAGATAAGTAAAGCATATTACTAAAAACCAGGCAGGCCCAGGATATAGAATAGGATATAGAATAGAAAATAGAAAAAAGGAGAACAGCTGAGTTCATCTACAACATAAAGATATGTATTTGACTAGTAATGCCACACCATGTTGATACTAGACATAAGTCTGTCATTCATCCTGCTATATAAACATTCACTGGTGTAGCTAGCAGCAGAAGTAGTATTGGACCAACCATGTTTGGATTCAGAAGCTAAGCAGAATCAATCCTGGCTAGCACCAGGGACTACCAGAGCTATAAGCTAAACCTGGGAGAACTATTTCATTATTGCTGTCCAGGAAACTGCATCCTTGTGGCCATGAATTAATCATCAAAAGTCAAGTTTGACTTGAGAATGTCTTGACATTTATGTTAAAGAGGATCTGGATACATATTACATTGCTGGATAGAGGCCTAATATTCTGCCCCAAGATCCTGCCGTGGCAATGCCAATATAACTATTTAAAACACAGGTTATTGAAGAAGTATATATAGAAGACATTATGCCAAATAAAGCACACAGAGAACTTTTGAGGTAAGGGGAGAGGTATCTGTGGGCTACGCAGTATCATGGAAATGGAAAACAGTTTATTTTTCATTGAATAGTTATGCAATATATCAGAGGCTCCTCTCCCAACATAATAGCAATAGCAATAACAATAGCAGTAGTGCTTAGACTAATATACCATTTCACAGTTCTTTTATAGCCCTCTCTAAGCAGTTTACAGAGTCAGCATATTGCCCCCAACAATCTGGGTCCTCATTTTACCCACCTCAGAAGGATGGAAGGCTGAGTCAACCTTGAGCCTGGTGAGAGTTGAACTGCCAAATTACAGGTAGCCGGCAGTCAGCAGAAGTAGTCTGCAGTACTGCTCTCCAACCACTGTGCCACCATGGCTCATTTTAATAACATCTTTTTTCTTTATAAAGGAGAAAGAAATACAATCATTCCCTTTATATAATTTCTCCTTCTTCAATTATAACTCTCCTTTATGTGTATATTACTTTCCCTTTCTGCTTTTAAATATTTACAGAGCTTTAGACAAGGAGATCCATGCCAAACAGATCCTTCTTTTTCAATTTGTTACAGATCAGAAACAATTTCCTTAGAAAGCAATGACTCTGGTGGCCTCTCTAATATTAGGAAACATCTATTTCCGTTAGATGCATGCTTCATACTTCCCAGATGGTAAAATATATCCCTCAGTTGTTAGAGGAGGGAAACCTGTCAAACCTTTAGGTTACTTGGTGATGAATTTTAAAAAGCATGACAATTCAATCAGCACTTCAATGCATGCAAGTTTAAATTAGTGATCATTCCCAACAACAATTTTGAGAAGGACACAATGATTTTATCTGTTGCTAAACATACCATGAAGAGTTCTGTGGCATCTGTCATGGAAAATAGTTTGTTGCTCTATTGACTATGGAATTTTTTTTATTACATATGCATCCGGAGAAGGAGCCTGCGGTTCATGAGAGCTTACCTCATAATAAATTTCATGTCCTTTAAGGTGCATCAAGATGCTTTCTACTTTCAAAAGAACCATAACTGAAGCTGCTAACTCCTCTGGGCAAACAGAGATCAAAAGAAAGACTGGGTTTTCTACTATTGTGTTTCCTAGGCAACCAAACAAAGCAGGTCACTGGCTCTCAAGCATTACTCATTAAGCTATTAGCCAAGTTCTCCTCCAGTGTTTGACTTGTTTTGCCTAGTATAAAAAGATAGATAAAAATTCTCTTAGCAAAGAAAGTCTTGTGTAAATAAACTCTCTGAAAATTGCTGCCTGAAGTAGAGACCAAGTTTGGCAAATCTTGTGCTATCAGAGCTGAGAGGAAGAGAGAAATATAGGAAAAAGGAAGGTGAAGTAAAAATCCAACATTTAACCACATATACACAAATAAGATACATGTATAAAGGTGAAAAGTTATCAACATAACAATTCTATTATCCTGCAGAAGAATTAAAAAGATAGGGGGGCTTTGAAAGAATTGGCTAGAATGCAGGAAGTTGTAAGAGTCAAGTTCAGAGAAAAATGATCTTGCATTTGACAATGCAGGGGACCTCCAGAGACAAATGTAGGAACAGGCCATTTTGTTCATCTCTCAGGAACCAAAAATCTGTGGGAAAGATCTTGAACTGCACTGTGTAGCTTGCTAATTGGCAATGACACTGAGATTAGGGATACCAAATTTGGGATCCAAAAATCTGGATGGATCTCCAGCTTTCTAGCAATTGTCTTTCTGCCCGGATATGACCATCCAGCTAGGATGGAATCATAGGCAACTGCAATGGTGATGTTTGTATAATTATTCAGTTCCATGACTTATGTACTTGTGTCATGTTGGGAAATGCCCAGCCGGTCAGGGAGGAGAACTCAAGTGGAGAATTAGCCTTCAATTGTTGCTCAGCTGCAAGAAAGCCAGGATTGATTCCACCTCTCCCCAAGATACATAGAACCTTATCCATCTGTTCCCAAGGAAAGGCAAGCCGTTTCAGAAAATTCCTGTATTATAGGCAGAATACAATGAAATAGTCAGCTTGAATTCTACACATGTGGATCTGGCTGTTTGCGCCTGACATGGCACAAATATTTATTTGTGGGATAAAGTTCTTGTGTTATCATTTTGGGGGCATTGCAACTGTACTTTCCTATGTATGGATAAATAGTGAACCTGTCCTGTGGAATTATTTTATCCTCTGTGGTATCAGAGGCTCCAAAGCTAATGTTTTATGTTGGCATTCTCTAGCCATTAATCTATCCCCTCCCCCATTTACTTCTTATTTTTGGTTTTATGTTATTTGTATTCTTTTCACCTGGATTTTGATCTGTTTTTATCTTGCTTTTGACATGTATAGTTATTGTCTACACATATCTAGGTATTGTTAAAAGAAGCAGCACTATTTGTTAAATAAATACTATTTAATTTTAAGAAAAAATAGTGCAGTCAAAAGAAAGGAATTCTATGCAGGTAAAGGGTGAATTTATTACTTTTTTTCTGCCACCCTATACTTCTATGCTGGCCTCAGAAGAATGAAGTAAAATGTGCTCCTGGAGGAAGGACAAATCACTTTATTTATTTCTTCAGTTTATTCACTAGAAGTATTTTTCCAATGCTAGATATAAAACTTCCCTCTTTTAGAGATAGCAGAGAAGTATAGATTATTAGCCTCTTATGTGATTAATTTGTAAATGAAGGTACTTATTTAGTGGGCTAATTTACAAGACAGTAATAAAAGGCCTGAAAAAAATGCTTTAGCAATCCTGGAAATGCAAAATAATAAATCTCAAATTCTAATAAAAGGTTTGAGATAAATGACTTTTGCATAGAGATGAGATTCTTCAGATCTATTCATTTCCCATCATTTATTCTATTTTTCAAAGTAAGAATACATTTTATTGTTGGAAGAATTCCAAAAACATTGACTGAGATCCATTAAGAAACATTAGAGCAATAACAAGCAAAACCCACTTTTCTTCTGAAATTCAGCAATTGAAAAAATCAAAGCTCATGGATCTTGTGGCACATTAGAACTCATACGTTGAATTGTGCACATGGAAAGGAAATAAACACTCAAGACCTCATGTGTAACAACCACCATCTTAAATTAACCCCTCCCCCAATGAATAAGAACTATAATTATGCTGCTTTAATTTTCAGTGTTAATAATACCAGATCAAAATTAGATTATATGTTTACGCGTAGTTTGATGTTGGATGCTTATATTCTAAATGTAACTAGATCTCATTTTCTTCTTAGAAGGGGACAGAAGAAAAAGAGTGAAGGAAGTATGAGGAAAGAAAAAGAAAAAGAGAAAAAAAAAAGGGAAAGACAACAAAAAGAATAGAAAATGACAGGTGAATGAAAAATGTTTTTCCCCCCTCCAAGTTTTTCCTACCCCTTATAAAAAATATAATGTGCCTGTAATTTCTAGACTCTTTCAAGGCAGGTCCATATCTCAGTACAGTATTAATCCCTTTTTTAATTGTGCCATGTACTCCTGAATTCTAACATAACTAGAACAATTCAGATTCTTATGATAACAAAAAGCTTTCTATAATGTTAAGATACTTTAAATTTATGTTGGAAATGTGGAAATATCATTTTATCTTGCTTGGGGAACTTCTAAAAAGTTTTTTAAAAATGGATTCAAAGTCTTACAAGAATTTTTAAATATTGAATTTTAACTGAAGCCATTTTTTGGTGAACCGGTAGACAAACAACTGAAAAAGACCAAAGGAAAATTGTTTTTGTACATGATAAATGAAGTAAAATTATTATATGACAAAAAGGAAAGGACTCCTCTACAAAGGAGGAATGGTTGATAAAAATTACAGAACTTACAAAGATGTCAAATTGACTTGGACTTCCCTTGATTAGGGAAAAGACAATTATTACATTTGTCAGTGACAACTATTTACGGACTTTTTGCTGAAAATAGAAATGTGATTTATAGATTTTATAATTAAAAAGGGTAAAATATGAAAGGTGCCACAATATAATTATAAAGAGAGAGGATAACATATAAAAGTATTTATAACTATTATCAAAAGATAAGAAGCTTTCTTTCTTTCTTTCTTTCTTTCTTTCTTTCTTTCTTTCTTTCTTTTCTTTCTCTCTTTCTTTCTTTTCATTTGTTACTTATATATCAATTTACTTCTCCCTTTCTTCTTTAAATTTGTAAGGTTTTTACTCTATAAAGTGCCTTCAATAAAAATACTATTCAAATTCCATTTAACTGGATTCTATGCAAAAGAACGAAGTCGTAAACTTTCATTGGTGCAGACACTTAATGTGGCTGCAAAGTTTGCTAAAATATTCCAACCCTTCAGAGATAAAAGAATATCATGCACAAGAGCAGACTGTATTGTTTTCCTATGATCAAGGAAATCTCCACCCACAAAGCTGAATTTACTGTTGGAGATAACATGGAGAGGCAAGAAATATACTGCTTAAATTGCTGGATGCTACAAATACAACCACCTGCCAAATAAGAGATGAGGACATTCACAAAACATGGTAAAACCAATGAACATTTATTTTGGGAACCAAATGGCTGCCCTAATGATTCTGCCAAATCATGAGAAAATCATTTGACTTGGTGCTTCAACACCAATACAGGAGCAGATGTAACTGTAATTTCAGATTGTGCTTACACAAACTTCCAGAGCCTGCCTTGTTTCCAACAAAATACTGTATCCATAACAGGTTCTGGCAGTATAATATAGATTGCCTGCTGCTATAGCCAGCACATGGAATACAAATATTAGCTTAAAGTTTATGAATTCTGTTGTTAATTAAACAGTTTTCCAATCCAAGAGAGATATGTTTGAATGGACATAGTGTGCCATGTGGAAGGACACCTTACAGAGTCTAACTCTTCAGTTTAGAACAGCTATTTCATACTTATCCCTATTTACACCCTCAAATATACCAAATGACTTCTCCTCAGATAAAATCTGTGTCTGTTGATAAAATATGTCGGAATTAAAACATCTGTGGCTACTTTTAAGAGTTCATCATTTTTCTTCCTAATATACTGTTTTAAAGATAATAATTAAATACATGAGAAAATTTACTTAGGAGAGGAGGGGGAAGAGAAAGAGGAGGAACATAAATTGTTAATGCTGTTTATTTTTATTCTGAAAGCAAAAGAGAAGTCAAAGGGGAAAAAGATAAACTTCTGTTGATTTTTTCTTTCTTTTCCTTTCTCTTTTTCTTTATTAAAATTCAGAGGTAAGATTGGCCCCCACCTTAATATTCTTTCAAAAAGCCCTGAAAACATAGTTTGGCCGGTGGGCCTGGGAACTCCAAGGTGATACGGAACTCAGCAAGTGATTTGCTGTCTGCTTTCACCAGAGGAAGGAACTTTTATTGGGTTTGGACTTGAGGTTTTACTTCTGTAAGCAGCCCGGAGTCACTGTGAGTGGGTTGGGTGACCATATAAATTTTCTCAATCAATAAAATGAATGAACACAAGACCCTCAACTTTGCATATCTCTGCAGATATGGCATCTGCCCCTGAGCTTTGCCATTGACTAACAACAACTTCAATTATGGTACTACTTGGAGGGTCATCCATGGTGCTGTTCATATTGATCTGGGGATCATTAATGGAAGATGGCTTCAAAATGTTCAGCCCATCTCTGCACACTCTGAGCCTTCTCTATAGTAAAAGGGTACCATCTATACTTATAAGGGAGGAAACCCCAAGAAGCTCAGGTCCATAGAGAGTGTTAAGGTCTTCATAGAACGACTTTTAATTTGTTTCTATCAGGATATCCCTATATTTTGTCTGCCTTGGCACTCAGTCAGGAATCTTGCATTTTACACAGTTCATTCTGATCTATCCTATTAGTACTGGTAAAGACATTTTTCTTGGCAGCTGATGATAAATCATTCTGATGGACACAATGAAGGTGATGTTTTCCAAGAAGTAAAATTTGTATCTCCTCATCATTCTTGTTGAACCAAACTTGCTACTTGCAAGTAGAAGGCCCTGACATCTTCGATGTAGATGAATGGACAACATCCCTGAAGCATTTCTAGTAGTCCTTAACATTGCTAGCAAGATGTAGGTCAACAAGTTTAGTCTCTACATTTTCTACATGAACTTCTTCAAATGTTATCAACACAAGTATGAAGTAGTCTACAGTGGAATTGCTATATCTGTACATAATGACTGCTAGTGTCATATTAACCTCTAATTCCTGCTTAATCTATTTTGGGAGAGAGAATTTCAAATCTGAACAGCCTTTAAGAAAACTGTGAACCAAACAGATCATGACTAGAATAGTTACAATGAAATATTATCTGGAAAAGCAAAATGTATAAGCAACATCCTGCAGCTGTGGAAACCTGAACAATTTGCTGAGGTAAACATATAACACATGATGAGAGCCAGAAGCATATAATGTACTATTCTTTTTGATAAGTCCAACAAACATGGTATGCAACTATTCACTATATTTTCAGCATAGATAGTAGAAAATCCTATCACATTATTAAATGATGCCCTACTAAATTACTTGCATGGAAACAATGCTTTTGCAAGGCTTTTCAAATTAGTGGTTAAAGATGTTTGGGTGACAGGAAGGTCCTACAATGGTGTTCAAAATAAATTTAAGGCTAATTTCCAGGTTCAAATATTTAGCAATTGAAAAGGAAATAACTCTGATAAAAATAGTGAATTTTCTAGAGCAGAGAACAGCAGTTATACAGTATATTTAAGCTGCCACTTACAGAAAAGTAATTTATAAAATCTCTGATCTAGCAAATGTAGTTTCTATGAATTTTGAAAATTTTGACATAGTTGTTGTAATAAAATTAAAGTACATGGGGGGGGTGTTACTTAGTGTGTGAGTTAAATATGTATAAAATAGAATTGGCTGAAAGACACAAAGAGCAAGGTGTCTTGTAGAATTTTTAAGTTAGGTTGTTTTATTCAGGTTTTGTCTCCATGGAGTATATCCTAATAGATTATTTCTGTCCATATGAATAACACAGGCATCTGTACCAAAATATTGAATATAAATGTTTGAAACTTTCAATATAGTCTACACAGCTATAAATGTAGTTCTATATACTCCCAAGCTGTTTAGTTAAAAAATGAAAACAAACACACATAGATGCTTCTTTTTATTTTGTTTGCTTTTGGTTTCTCATTATATATTTTTTTCTAATGGTCCATAAAAAGCCATTTTTATGCCTTCGGCATAAAAATACAAACCTACTTCATAGATAGAATTAAAATATTGGAACCTATTTTATCATTCTTTATCACATTTTTAAACCTGTTGATCTCATTTTGTGCACAATAGAGGTGTGAAGTGATCATCTGGTGTGAACACAGATTTTTTTTCCTCCTGGGATACAGAGTTGTGGTGCTACCTGGGAAGGAGATTGTGTCCTTTGACTTCTTAATACACCAGCTCAAGGTTCCTAATTCATCATGAAAATGGGCCAAAATGCCAAAACTAGTATGAACAGTGATACTATGCTACAACTGGAATATTTAAAAGTATCTGCAAGTTAAGCATTTCAGAGGTGGTCAAGAATTAAAGAATTAAATCTCCCTCTTTTGGAACATTAACCCTGCGAAGATTAGACTTGCCCCCACATTGACACTCATTCATAATGCCCTGAAGACCTGGTTTTGTCAGTGGACCTGGGGTACCCAAAGTGGGACGGAACCCATCAAGTGGCTTGTTTGATTGTTATCATCATTAGGGATGTGGGTGGTGAGGGGTTATTGTTTTTATTGATGTATATTGGATTTTTATTTTTTGTAAGCTGCCCAGACTCACTGAGAGTGAGTGGACGGCCATATAATATAATATAATATAATATAATATAATATAATATAATATAATATAATATAATATAATATAATAACCACTCATTTCAAGTAAAGTCACAAGTGCTTTTCAAGTAACTAACAAAATTGCAATTATCATTCTAGAAAAGGTGGAGTCAGGGCCTGCTTGCTAGATGGTCCCAGAATGGCTGCAATGAATTTTATTATTATTAATTCTGTATGCAAAGGTGCTTTGCACACTTAAACAATGTTACCGCTGACAGTAACTATGAATGGACATTAAATTATGATGTTTCACTTTGCAATTTTCCTTGAAGTGTAGCAATTGACTGTACTTTATATCCAAAAGTACTTCCTAGGAGCTAGAGTTAATTATTTTTATTCCATGACCCATATTGCTATTATTACAGGAGTTAGGCAAGATTTTGCAGATACTGCAATTTCATAGCTTTTTGGACACTGCATAAAAGTATACGCACAAACACACTTGATC